CATCTTCCCTCTCCGAGTTTTCTCATGTTTAAAACAAAGCTAACTGTATCTCATAAATTAAATGAGATGCAAAAATATCTGACATAGATATATTTGTCAATATGTGTGTGTGTGTGTGTATATATATATATGTATATATATATATATTAGATTTTACTTTTGACCCATTCTAAATCCCCCAGTATCTTTACAAAATCAAAGCATAACATTTGGCTTAAAAATGAAATGGAACAGGGAACTTATAATGGAAAGTGGCAACACTCTGCCCCAGAGGTGACTGCTTTGAATCATTTTTATTTTTAGTTGCTTTTTTTTAACTAATTATATCTTCAAATTCCTAAACAATACCTTTACTCAGCTATTTATTTATTTATTAATTATAGACATTATCAATTGACTTTTTACTCTGGCAGATGAAGGTTTTGTTCATTTACACACACTTCCTTAGCCCCACTCTATACGCCCAATATCATTACTCCATTTTATTTAGTCTTTTTACTGATTGCCTTTGTTAATATTATTATTTGTTATGTTTGTATTAGTTGTTTATTGCTGTGCAACAAATTGCACTAAAATTTAGTGACTTACAACAGCAATAAGGATTTATTGTCTCATACAGTTTCTGGTGGTCAGGACTTTGGGAGCAAATTGTCTTGGTGGTTCTGGCTCATGAGATTGTAGTCAAGATGTCAGCTGGAACTACAGTCATCTGAAAACTTGACCAGGGGTTTGAGAATCTGCTTCCAAAATAGCTCACTCACATGGATGGTGAGTTGGTGCTGTTTGCAGGAGACCTTTTATCCTTGCCATGTGGACTTCTTCATAGAGCTATGTAATTGTCTTCACTACAAGACATTAGGTTCCCCCAGAGTAAGTGATCCAAGAAAAGACCAAGTGGAATCGTCTTCATGTTTTATGGACTGCCCTTGGAAGTCATACAGCATCATTTCTGCAAATTCTCTTGATTATATAGGTCAACCCTGTTTAATTTGGAAGAGGACCACACAAGGTCAAGGATAACAGAAATGGGATCACCTAAGAAGCTGCCTCCACAGTCTTCCTTCTGGTCTCCCATGATTCACATCTCTCTTATATGGTAAAGAAAATAAATACTCCTTATCCCTTTATAGTACATACTGGAAGCTTAGGATCTTGCCATTTAAATTAGGTGTAGGTGTAGGTGTGGGTACTTGAGTACAGGTCCTAGAGTATAATTCCTGTTAATCTGAAGACCTGTGAACTAAAGAGACTAATTATCTGCTCCACATAGCCAATGTACAATGATGGGACAGACATAGAATAACCATAATAGACTCATTCGAAAAGGGGTAAAAGTGATCATTGGTCCAAACCATTTCGAAATCCAGTTGGAATTTTCTTGCCTTGAAAGTTTCTTGACTTAGTCCTACTCTTTTTCTGGAATAAATCTCCATACTTGTGGCTCTGCTTTCTGATTTACTATAGCCATCCTCTGGATGATCCTATATTTTCCATAAAAGGTTGCCTGTGTTTCTAGCTGAATAATCTCTTTGCTTACTTTCTGCCTATAAATTTGTGGTTCCAGTCCTTTTTTACCCCATATGGTTTCTTTCCCTTTCAATCTAAGCCAGCAATATTTCTTCTGGAATAATTTGCTTTTTGGGGATTCACTCCATTGGGCAGAAGATAGGCAACATAGGAATTTCTTTATGATAAGTTCTTCATCTTGATTTTCCGATAACACTGTTGAGAGATAACACCATTAAGCTTCTAGAAAGCTTAATATCCTTAACACCCTTAACACCTAGAAAGCTCTATTACTTAAAGTATCATCATAGATTTTGGTGGGATGTTAAAATGGTTTTATAGCCAAACACTTGGCTTTACCTTTAGAAACTTTTTCTGACAGTGCCCAAGATTGTAATGTTTTCCTAGAAGCCATATCTTAATTTAACATTGTTTTCCACCTCAAGAGGTTAGAAAATTTCAAAACCTGGCTTCATCAAGTTTTGGCTTCTTTCTTTTCTAGCTTATCTTTTTCCTCTTATATTTCAATATAAGCTGTAAGAAGAAACAAAGTGACTCTATCAACTCCTTGTCTGGAAATCTTCATTAGATCGCTCAGTTCATTAGGGACATTTTTTGTTTTCCATATTAATTCAAGCAGCAGTATTGTTATTTTCTGTCACTATATAACAAGGATTCCGATTTCTCAGTTTTCATAACATTTTCCTTAGTTCCTTTAAACTCTCACCAGCAGCCTCCTCAAAGGCTATCCAGGGTCTACTAAAAGTCACTTCAAGGCTCTTTAGGTTTTCACTAACATTCTTTTTAAAGTCATTGCAGCCTTGACCCACTTCCCAGTTCTGAAACTATGCCCAACTAAAGAGGTATGCATTATGGCATCACCTCACTTCTTGTAATAAAGTCTGTATCAATTACCTATTGTTACTGAATATTACAATCATGAGATCAACCCTGCATTGGGCTCTGCACTGAATGTGGAACCTGCTTGAGATTCTCTCTCTCCGTCCTCTGTCCCTCCCCCACTCATGCTCACATGAACACACACTCTCTCTCTCTCTCAAAAGAAAATAAAAATTGGGGCGCCTGGGTGGCGCAGTCGGTTAAGCGTCCGACTTCAGCCAGGTCACGATCTCGTGGTCCGTGAGTTCGAGCCCCGCGTCAGGCTCTGGGCTGATGGCTCGGAGCCTGGAGCCTGTTTCCGATTCTGTGTCTCCCTCTCTCTCTGCCCCTCCCCGGTTCATGCTCTGTCTCTCTCTGTCCCAAAAAAATAAATAAAAACGTTGAAAAAAAAAATAAATAAAAATTAAAATAATTTCATTAAAAAAATAAAAGAATGGGTAGAATATTCAATGGGAAGTGAACAGAAAGGATTTTGTTAAGAAGGTAATACTTAGGCTGTATCTTGAAAGATGAGCAGGTACTTACCAAGTCAATGGTGGGTAAAGGGTCAGGAATTTCCAGGCAGGAGAACCAAAGTAGCATGATGCCTTTAGAGAAACTTGAAAGAGTTTGAGATGGCATAATTGTAGAGTTATGGTGGTATAGAATGAGGAGGGAGAATGAAGCAGTATCCAAATCATAGAAGACCTTATATGACAGGTTACAGAGTTTTGACTTTATCTTGTGGGCAATGGAATTCCATTAAAGGGTTTTAATCAAGACAGTAGCATGTTCATAATTATGTGTTAGATATATTACATTGGTTATGGTATAGAGAATGGGTTGAGACATTAGAGCCTAGGAAGCTACTTACGCTACTGTTGTTATATTTCAATTGTAGGATAATGATTACATCATCTTGTAGGAGATCAGAACATGCCATTCCAAAATATGCCACTCTGGCATAAGGATTATTTTGAGCTCAAGGCAATTGAGAGAAAGGGCACAGGATAAGCTCTCTGCCTTCTTCCTACCTACCTGTAAACAAGATAATAAACTCCCCTTGTGAAGATGTCCCCCTAGCCCTTACCTGTACCAGGGAAGGAATAACAATTTTACCACCAGAGATGAGATGGCACTGAAAGTCTACACAAACAAACCATACTAACTACTTCTTTTATTTTTAAGGTTACATGGGGTTATAAGGGTAGGGTCTTAATTTAAAAAGTTTTGGGGCGCCTGGGTGGCGCAGTCGGTTAAGCGTCCGACTTCAGCCAGGTCACGATCTCGCGGTCCCCGAGTTCGAGCCCCGCGTCGGGCTCTGGGCTGATGGCTTGGAGCCTGGAGCCTGTTTCCGATTCTGTGTCTCCCTCTCTCTCTGCCCCTCCCCCATTCATGCTCTGTCTCTCTCTGTCCCAAAAATAAATAAACGTTCAAAAAAAAAATTTTTTTTTTAAAACCTTTTAATGTTTATTTATTTTTGAGAAAGAAAGAGAGACAGAGTGCAAGCAGGGGAGGGCAAAGAGAGGGAGACACAGAATCCAAATCAGGCTCTGGCTCTGAGTTGTCAGCACAGAGCCAGACGTGGGGCTTGAACCCACGAATTGTGAGATCATGACCTGAGCCAAACACTTAACTGACATTTAACTGACTGAGGCTTGTCCAAGGGCCTATAGGACAGAGAGGAATATGGAGTCAAGCCTCCTGATTTCTAGTCCAGTGTTATTTTTGGTATATTATTTTTCCATGCATTTAAACACAGAAACAAAAGCCAAGAACATTGTTTTATAGGTGTTTCTTCTCAAGTAAAAATTACATCAAATTATAGTCATTTCAAGCTAAGAAAAAGAAAGGTGAGTGAATCCTATAAGACTCTTCTTATCTTTTAAACTCATACAGACTTAGGGAATGTTGTTGAAATAAAGTTTATTTAAACTTTTAAGTTTTATTACTAATTTATAGACCCTTTAAGCCTATAACAAATATTTCCTTAGAAAAATCATTCTGAGAGCCCATAACCCTGATCAAGTATTTGCCCTGCCGACACGTTTATTTTTGGCAGGCAAGAGTCCTGGTTTTGAAAAATTTTTAGGGTGAATAATGAAATAAATGAAAATTGAATAAATGAAAATTCTTTTAATTAGCATATCTGTTCTTTTTTGAAAAATTGGTCAAAATAAGTTATAAGTATGGTACTTAGAAATAGCTCTCTTAGAGAAGTACATAAATGGTTTGAAAGACTTCCCAGAGATGTTAGTTAGAATACTAAAAATATTTTCTTTATATACTTAGGTAAAATAATTTAGCCTCAAAATTAGGGCAGTTCAAATTAATGAGCTTTTATAGTCTTTTCAAATGTGATCTACATTATACCTGGCATTTTTAAAGAAGCAAAATCGAATATGCCAAGTATTAGATGTGTTGTTAACATTTAATAAATATCAAAGAAAATAAGACCACTTCCCACTAAAAGAATAATTTGGATTTTGTAGGATCACTTTCTTTCCAAAATGAATTCATAAAAGACCAAGATTCTTTAGGAGAGTTAATTTTTGAAACTCTTAAGAAAATAAGAAATTAAAATTTTAGTTTATATACTTTTTATACTCAAAAACACTACTCCAAGAAAAAGAATCTCTTTATAAAAATAATGGTTTAACCAACTCATATCTTTTGAGCATTGACTATTTATTGTCTTAAGTTGGGCAGAGAGAGAAGTTGAGTTAGGTGTGACTGAAACAGACTTCCTAACTTTAAGAAGCTTACATTCTGCTAGAGGAGATAAGACATATGAAGAAATATCCTTAATGCAAAATAATTATGATGTGTCAAAAGACAGACAAAAACACAAGGATATAATATTTCAGAAACAAGCATCAGGGATGCAGCAGCAAGCAAAACAAAATCCGTATTTTTAAGGAGATTTCATTCTATTGGGATGATAAATAGTATATAAGTAATGTATATCCATATCTGTATCCACACTTATCTATATGTGTATATAATGTCAGGTGCAGACTAAAGTGAAGAGAGTGACACTATTTTAGATAGGGTGTTCTGAGAAGGCCTCTTCTGATACTGTGCTATTTGAGACTTGAGAGAAGAAAGAAAATGAATCAGGAGGAATAACGGGCGAACAAGAGCATGCTGGGCACATGAGGAGAAAATTCCAGAAACATTTCAGTGTGTCTAGAGCTTAGTGTTGGGGGAGGTAGTCATGAGAAGGTTGGTTAAGGATGTGACTGGAAAGGTAACTGAGGCTAGATCATCACCCCCAATGGCAAGGGCTTTGTTGTCTCTTTAAAGGACACTGGCTTTTGCTCTGAATAAGATGGGAACCACTGGAGAGCTTTGACTAAAGCAATGACATAATAACTTGAATTCTAAAGGATTACTCTGATTGCTATGGGGGACAAGTGCAGAGGAAGGAAGACCATTAGGAGGATGTATTAGTTAACTAGGACTGTGTAACAAATTGCCAGACAAAAAAACTAGGTGGCTTAAAACAAGAAATGTATTCTCTCACTGTTTTGGAGGCTAGAAGATGACCTTAGAGTTTACTCCTGGAGAGTCTGAGAACAACTGATTTCATGCCTTTCTTTTAACTTTTAGTGGTAGTCAGCAATCCTTAGTGTTTCTTGGATTACAGACATATCACTCAAATCTCTAGCTCCCTTTTCACAGGGGCTTTCTTTCTGTGTCTATATCTAT